TCACCGTCCCTCGGGACGTTAGCACGATCTTTCATCACCACAAACACAATCATATCTTGCCCGTATGACATTCGACTCAGATCGACTGCCATACGACTGAGTGTCCACTCATCGCCCTCAGCGGAATAACAACTAATAACATACACTCGTCTACAATCACATGCTAGACAATATCTTAACTCGTTCTGTATATTGCCTAACACCATTCATCTATCCCATTCAATGCCCTCAATCATATGCAGTCATGTATTCCAATCATTATTCATACATACAAATATTTCCATTTATTAATAATTATAAGTCTTAGCTTAGCCAATTATCGGAAATACTTATATGGGTTTATACACTCATTATATAAACCTAAGTATCTAAATATCCATACGTGGTATCTTTTAGAATTTCACTCCCAATTTATTTTAACCTTCGGTATGATTGAATCGGGTTTCGATCCATCCGGATTACCGACTTTTTTCATCCCGTGGTTTAGGGCTTACCGTGAAGTTTGAGGACATGTCGGGCTGGACATTCCTTTATTTTGGTTTAGTTGATTGGAATCATACGGGGATTGGTCTGGTCGGATCTGGACTGAACTCCGGACCATTCTGGACATTTTTTCAATCACGGACCAGAATATGGTCTGGCAGACCAATCTTCCTTTTCTTTCTTTTAAGTCTGCCTGACTAATTTTTTGGTCAGTCCATTTTTTTTTTAAATTTTTTTTATCCAGTCCGTCCGGCCCAAAATCTTGGTCCGGCGAACCAACTTCATCTTCAACCTCGAGCTCATTCTCTCTTCTAAAAATTCTGATCTGGCAGACCAACTTCTAGTCCTCCCCGGACCAAATTTCGGAAACTCTTCAAATCAGTCAAAACACCTCAAAAATCAATGGATAATGACTCAAAACAATTAACATCAATCAAGGAACAAGAATCAAACATCAATCATACACGAGAAACTCATAAAACTCCGAAATCAATGAAATTAAAATTTTCAACTTAAACCCAATTCACTCACCAATGGCTTCCTTGGAGTTCTCTGACTTTTGGGGATGCTTTCTTGTGCTTCTCCCGTTTCGATTTGCTCAGATTCATCACAAATCGAGCTTAAGGCGGAGTGAATCACTTTGTGAAATTTCACAGCTCTTGAGAGAGATAGAGTGTGTGTGTGAGAATGAAAAAGAGAGTAGTGAGATCTCATACTTGAACCTAAAAGAAAAGGGAAACGAAGTGTAAAAGAGAAACTTGAGCAAGCAGGAGATGGCAGCAAAGGGTAAAGGCTCGGTGAGACAAGAAGCAAGAGGTGGCGAAGAACACGGTGAATGAAATTCACTGCATGACTCATCAGGCTTGGTCCGACGGACCAAAACTTGGTCAGTCTCGGACCAAAGCCTTCACTTGGTATGTCTTCCTTTCCCTTGGTCCGGCGATTTTACCCTTGTTCCACTGGGTTCGGTCAACTCCGTACCAAATCTTGATCCGGCGGACCAATTTTTTTATTTTTTTTAATTTATGGGTTATCACAGTCATCGTTCGTTTGATTATAGTTTTATCATTGAACAATTCTTTTATGCGTAGTTACATGTTTGTATTGTCATCGTTAGATTGTTTTTTCTTTCTTTCTCCAATGCTTGAATTATAGCCGACACCAACAGTGGTGTATAACCGTGTTGTAGATTTTGTTTAGGTCTTTTGAAATACGAGAAAGTTTCTATGATAAACATTTAAGTCAATTTGATAATACTCCAATCTCATGTTGTTACCACGTATAAGCTTGCGAAGTATAAAAAATTATGGAAAATTAGAATTATCTATTATGAAATTATATTCTTAATTAATAAGATTAGTGTTAGTATCTTAATAAGACTAGTTTATAGTTATTTGATTGAATGAATAATACAACAAGGTTTTATTCCGTAAATCGCAAATCTTGATATGTAGTATCAAAATTTAGTTGTATTCTTTGCATTTTAAGTTTTTTTTAGATTTTGCGAAATATGATGGTTGAAGACGAAGAAGATGAGGATATGTTGTATTTTATCAACAATATTTCGTCGAACTTTCAATTTTGAATAATAATAAGATAGTTATTTACTTCTTGTTTTTTATCTTGTTTTTTTTCTTCGTTTTGATTTGTTTTTTGTCATAACTTTCATAAAGTTTGAAGAAAAATTGACTAAGATGTTTATCGCAGTCTACCACATCAATAGTTTTATAAGCAAAAGATTCCTTTTTGCATAGTTTCATGTTTAAACTACCCTTGTTCATTTGATTATATTTTACCATCGAACGATTCTTTTATACGTAGTTGCATGTTTTACCATCATCGTTTGATTGTTTTTTTTCCTCCAACGGCTGAAGATATTGTCGAACCCCACGATGATGCATAGTCGTTTTAGAAATTTTGTTTAGATCTTTTTAAAACGTGTGAGCTTATATGATAAATATTCAAGTCCAACATTTAAAATTACGTCAATCTCATAGTATTATTACGTATAAGCTTGTGGAGGAATATTGACAATTATAGAGAGGTTTTTTTTTTGTTAAAGGATAAAGTATTATGGAATTATATTCTTAATAAGATTAGTGTTAGTGTTTTAATGAGACTAATTTATATAATTTCAGAATACGATTAGGTTTACTCCATATCTATGCCTATATTTTTTTTTTTTTTTGGTTGAATGCTGAACAAACTAGTTAATAATATTATGAGTGTTTTGGTCGTCGATTAAATGGGGATGATGAATGGATTAAATCAAATGTTATGGATAAGTATAGTTAGTACCATTAAACTTTATTAGTTGTATATTAAATTAATCGCGAACGAAAACGCGTGATTTAGCTTTAATTACGGTTTAATCCTCTCGTAGTGTGATTAAATAAATTAACAACTCAAAATACTGTACCAAATGCGGAAAGCTAATGACGCAATCAAATCCCAAAAGATCTTCTTCGCATCATCCCAAATCAATTTCCGATTTAATATTATAAAAAAGTACATAAAATTTATTGGAAAATACAAAAAAAAAAAGTGATTTTTTTCTCTCTTTTTAAACACACTACGTCATTTGGAGGCCTCTTTTCTTTCACTATTATTTTTCAAACTACGTCATTTTTTTTTTGTTTTCAATATATGTTTTGGAGGCTTTTTTCATTTTTTTTATGTTTAATATTATTTTTCCACGTGATATATGATTTGCCAAGAAATAGAGCCACAAATCAAAATGGATACGGGTTTTATTTATTAGTTCCGTTGTAAAATATTGTGTATGACCAAAAAAAACTACTATACGGTTTATTTTATACTCAAATTACCTATCAATATGTGATCTTTTTTTAGTTAATGTTTCTCGAAGAAATCATCGATTGGGTTAGCTCTCTTCGATTGAAGTGGTCTTAATGTAATTAATAATTTTGTTGAGATATATATGTATAAATAGAACCTCCTAACTTATAAACATTAATAATAATAATTAAAAAAACTTTTGATTTCCTTGTGGAAGAAGGGGCCTTATACTAAATAGTTACAATTGAAAATGCATAGAAAATTGGGAAAAAAAATACAAAAGGACTATTCGTACCAAAGATATGTGCTTATGTTTTATTATAGGAATATTATATTTATATACAGATATATATAATATCTACAATCAATTCAAAATATATGTTAAAAGTATTTTTTTATTGTCAACATCTAAATTGCAATTTCGTTTTTGGGTAAACTGTAGGTTACATGTTAAGTTCCTGTATTCTTATATTAATTTTATTATAATTAACAAAAAATAGTTTTATCCTTTTGTCATGAATGCCCATATTAGATCCATACACAACCAGCACGTACGGCCATCCTTCTTTCTGATTTTTGTCTTTGGCCCATTTCCCATTCTTACGGGATCAACCAAAATAATAATAATATATAGCCAAATCATGAAATAAATAAATAGGAATTCTAATTTCCAAGTGGAAACCAATATTTGTTTTTTTTTTAGAAAACCAATATTTTGATGGGCTCTAATTGGTCCTTTTAACAAAATCTGACTTATGACAGAACAAGATTGTTATGAAAGCAATAAAAACATCAGATAAGATCGTAGCCATCCATCCATCTACATCAATTGTGTCTTCCGTATATAATTTTATTTGTTCAATTATTTTATCCAAAGCTCTTTTATTTATTTATCATAAAGCCAAAAAAAAAAAACGTATGATTGGTCCTTCAAAGTGAATGCTCGTTATAACACTGGCGAATGGACATCAGCCAAAGGCTGTCTGAATTTATATATAAAACACCCGTGATGTTATAATATCGATAACAATAATTCCATTCGATCTTTTTTTTTTATTTCTCTCTAATTATGCCAATGTGCGTTTATTGCCTTTTTTATTTGTTGATAATGATCCAATTCAAAGCCGAGAAGGCGACGAGGGGAATAAAGATGCGATTGAAGAAAGAAGAGATGAGAAAAATGCTATCCTAAAATGGAATAAACTTTAAAAATGCTCTCCTGAAATGGACAAATATTTTTTAAATGAACGAAATCAAATTCCAAGTGATTAGTAACACATGCAGTACCTCGTCATTATGCATAAGATGAATTATTGTAATTGGCGTGGTTCGTTAATCACACCATGCTGGTGCAAGCATCTAAGCTCATCAGGGGGGATGAACTTCACTCGAGTCATGTAATGTCCATTTCTCACGTGAAACCCACCATGCCCCCCAACTGTGGGCCCCACTTCCCGGCCCACATCATCACCATCACCATCATCATGATAAATAGTAATTAAACACAATTCTATCCCATGCAAAATAAAGTGCGAATTTAGATTTTGGTACGTTTAATCAAGTGCTTCCGCGAAATTTTCCTTGACCCACACAACATACGCACATATAGGGCATACCCATAGCTCCTCCCATGCACCTGCCCATATATTATAATTATCGCCTTGAATCCATGGCAAATATTAAAAAAATCATTTTCTCCCCCCGAAGAAAATGGGGGAAAAGAAGATATAATAATATCATACATGCACTTGCCATTTCTTATTTTACTGTCTCTATATATAATCACGCATACATTCTCACTCTCACAAAGACAGAGACGCGCATATACATACACATATACACTCTCTCATTCATCTCTCGATTGTAGTCATATTTTTTCTTTTTCTTGTTTCTTCGAGATCCCAAGAAATGGATGTGAACAGCGTAGACGAGAGTACCACGAGCACTGAAACCGTTTGCACTCCGCCGGCGACAAGATCTCCGGCGAGAAAGTCGCCGGAGAGGTTTTGCCGGGTGGGAAGCGGATTGAGTGTCGTTTTGGATTCGGAAAACGGCGTGGAGTTCGAGTCGAGGAAGCTGCCGTCGTCCAAGTACAAAGGCGTGGTGCCGCAGCCAAACGGCAGGTGGGGCGCTCAGATTTACGAGAAACATCAGCGCGTGTGGCTCGGCACCTTCAGCGAGGAAGACGAGGCGGCGCGTGCGTACGACGTGGCCGCGCAGCGATTCCGCGGTCGCGACGCAATCACGAATTTCAAAAACGCGCGTTTGGACGACGCCGAGGTCGAGTTCCTGAACGCGCACTCCAAGTCCGAGATCGTCGATATGCTGCGTAAGCACACGTACAACGAGGAGCTCGAGCAAAACAAACGGCGCTTAAGATCCCGTTACGGTAACGACGAACGGAACGAAAACGTGAAAACGAGGAGCGGTGACGGAAACGACGGCGTTTCGGGGAAGGAGTTCAGGCCAGCAGAGGCTCTGTTCGAGAAAACGGTAACGCCGAGCGACGTAGGGAAGCTGAACCGTTTGGTGATACCGAAACACCAAGCGGAGAAGCATTTTCCGTTACCGTCATGTAACGTCTCCGCCAAGGGCGTGCTGTTGAATTTCGAGGATATAACGGGGAAGGTGTGGCGGTTCCGTTACTCGTACTGGAACAGTAGTCAAAGCTACGTGTTGACCAAAGGATGGAGCCGGTTCGTTAAGGAGAAGAGACTCAGGGCGGGTGACGTGGTCGGTTTCAGCAGATCCAACGGTCATGATCAACAGCTGTACATAGGATGGAAGGCGATATCCGGATCCGGGTCGGATAAGGAACCGGGTCGGGTGGTGAGGCTATTCGGAGTCAACATATCAAAGGGAGACTGCTTAAACGACGCCGTAGCGAACGGCGGTGGTGACAAGAGAGTGAGGGAAGCGGAAGAGATGATTTCGTTGGGTTGCAGCAAGAGACAACGCATCCTCGTTGCCTCCTAACGACTCTCTTTTGTTCTTTTTATTTTTTTTATTTTAATATCTTCTCGCTTTTATTTTATTTTCCTTTTTTTTTTGTTTCATAAGTTCTTACATTTACTTGTTGGGTTTAGGAATTAAATTGTACATTTACTTATAAGCAAAAAAAAAAAATTAGGTGATCAAACGAAGCTTCAACAACATGAAACCATGAAATCAAAGTTAATTTTAAGATTTTTTTTTCTCTATTTGATTTTATTATTCCTTAAAATCCATATAGATGTATATAAAACCCGGTCCAAAATCCATCTAGATTCATTACATGATCCTATGTGATTATTTTATTGATGTGTTTTTTCAATTGTATACTGAATTAAAATATATGATAACTATGCTAGCACTGACTTCAAACAGACTCGTGGAATTTGTGAATAACACGGGATAATATTATTATTTTTATTTTTATTTTTATTTTTTATAACCGGGATAATTCTTCGGGATCAGCCTTTGTATGGATCATTTTGGTCCAGAAATTACGTCTCTCTCCACCAGTAGAATCGAACTCAAGACCTTGAGAATGACTTTGTCAACTCGGGCCATCAATTCTTAGGTGGATAATATTATTGTTGATATTGTAGTCATGGAATGTAAAGGAACATCTCCCCATTGAGACGGATTTTATATGATCCATGATTTTAATGTATATACCTTATACGAATCAAATTGTACATACATTTATTCGTGGAAAGTTTATTGATGAAGTTATGTATAAAAAAATAATACACTATATTATTATTTGGATCACAGCTACAATCATTTTTTTATATCTAGAAGGTTTATTAGACTTTCGTCCCACTTATTTCCCTCAAGTTTGAAATCAACCTTGAATCACGTATTTATTGTGTCTCCCTCCTTGCCACTAGTAGAATCGAACCCAGAGTTACAATCATCTTATTTCCGAGGTTGTTTTAATAGATATTACACGAAAGATAATAAATTTTATATGACAGTGAGTACTAATATACTGTATATATACAACGAATGGACAGATCTAGATTAGTAGGATTAGAGGTTATCTACAGCTACTACCAATATAAATATTAATTAATTATTATATTAATATATACATGAAATAAATGAAAACTAATATTATGATTAGAGATGTCAACATGGGTTGGGTTATGTGGCTTGATCCAATCCAACCCCATTATTGATCCAAATGGGTTAATCCATTTAAGTAACTTTTTTAAATGGGTTAAATGGGTTTATTTCATGAATTAAATGGGTTAAACCATTAAACCCATTAAATCTACTACATCATCAACATAAGTTCATTAAACTCATTATATGTATGTAACTAAAACTATTATATATATATATATATATAACTAAAACTATTATATTTAAATATCTAAATAGTAATATATGTATATCCATATACACATAAATATATTCATATGTATATATATACATGCGAACCAAAAATATGATACCAAATCGAAATGTTTACCCATTTGACATCAAATGGATTGAGTCTAAATGGGTTGGGTTAACCCATTTGACATCACTAACTGCGAGGCAAGAATTGATGAATCTACCAATTGCTGAGCTTGAAAGACGATGTCGACACAATGGGTTGTCACTCGTAGGTGGTAGAAAAATGATGGTTGCTCGACTGTTAAGCCTTGAAAATGCAGAGATGCAGAAGAGTTACGACCTAGTATATGAAAATCCAACCCATTTGGGCTCAATCCATTTGGGTCCATAGAATTAACGGGTTGGGTTGAGTCGACCTAATAACAATAATGGGTTGGGTTGAGTCGATCCATTAAATCTGTTTAAACCCGCTTAATTCATTTACATACTATTTATATACTGATATAGTTATAAATATATATACATATATAAAATAAGAGTGAACATTTGAGAATTCAATTCTATAAAAATATATACTAACCGATTATTATATTGTATTAAACTTCAATTTTTATTAAGAAAAATGTATATTGTCTTAAGACATTTTTCGTTTTTTATTTTTATTTTTTTAAAATTCGGTCTGATTCGATTCGATTATTTAGAAACGTTGTCATTCAATTTTTTGAACGATTCGATTTGAAAACGATATCGATTTTTTCGGTTCGGTTCGGAAACGATTTTGATCTTTCGGTTCGAAAACGGTATCGCTTTTTCGGTTCGGATTGAAAATGGTACCAAGTTTTTCGATTCGATTCGGAAACGATTTCGATTTTTTCGGTTCGTTTCGAAAACGATTTCGATTTTTTCGGTTCGTTTCGAAAACGGTATCGAGTTTTTTGGTTCGATTCGAAAACGATTTCGATTTTTTCGATTCGAAAACGGTATCACTTTTTCGGTTCGGTTCGAAAACGGTACAAATTTTTTCGGTTCGTTTCGAAACGATACCAAATTTTTCGATTTGTTTCGGAAACGGTACCCAAACATTTCGATTTGGTATCATATTTTTGATTCGCATATATATATACATATATTTATATACATATATATCTAAGTATATATAATAGTTTTAGTTATACATATATATATATATAATAATTTTAGTTACATATATGAACTTATGTTGATGATGTAGTGGATTTAATGATTTAACTCATTTAATTTATTGGTTTAATGGGTTAAAACCCATTTAAAAAAAAAAATTACTTAAATGGATACCCATTTCGATTAATAATCGGATTGGATTGGATCAACCCGTATAACCCAACCCATATTAACATCGCTAATTATGATAGAAAACTAAACTAGTATTTTCTTTTCCTTTTCATTTTACAATTAATGTTTTGATGATAAATTTTTATAGATTTGCCGTAGATATAAAACAAAAGAGTTTATTTACTCTTGTTGTTCTTGTACACTTTTATCCTAATGGGCCTGCTCCTGGGCCTTGAAGTTTGGTAGAGGGGAACTGGTTTCCGACCAAATCTCAAAGTTCATGTTCTTAGTGAGATATTTAATCATTTACGGGTTAAAATTCGAATTCGGGACGGAACAAACCATAAACTTATGGTTGAACTTGGGTTAATCATTTACTGTTACAGCTTAGTGATGCAATGCTTAAATGCTCGTTGCCATGATGAGTCAATCGACATCCCGATTCCATGATACATGGGATATATACACACACCGCTACATATATTAGGTGAGCTACGTGTGTGTTAGTTTGAGTCGTTGGTCAAAACTTAGTCAACGCTTTGGTCGTGTCGTTTAATTTGATTTGAGGAGGTACCATTAATCATGCATATGGATTGTTTATTTTATTGGATTGATAATTTACCAATCTCTCACATTTCTAAACCTTTGTCGCGTTTTCCATGTGGAAAGCCAACCCAACCCGTTAATAATTTTATCTAGCTTATATATTTCAGTTATCTAATTTTAATTAAACGAGTTCTATGATTTTAACAATTAAAATTATGGATTAAAATTTTAAACTCATTAAATCCAATTAATATATTATGATTACAAATCTCAATTGTATCTTCCATTAATAACAGAATTATATTCAAATTAATTCTAATTAAATAACACATAACTGAATTCAATATAAATTCCGAATTAAATATAAAAATAACAAAAATATTTTTTTTTTAAAAATAGTATTAATAATAATCGAATTTAAATCGAATGTGAATAAAAAAATATCGATCCGAATCGAAATTAATAGAATCTAAATCGAATTTGAATTGAAACATGATAAGAATTGAATCCTTTATAAAAACCATATATATATATATAAACTCATTGATGTAATTGGATTAATTGCTTTTATGGTTAACCAATCCATTAAACCATATAAACCCAAATGGGTTGGCCATCTCCCGTTTTGAACCCAATTTATGCACGTGCGAAATTCCATTGTTAACATAAAAAAATTTCTAAAACCTTAAATGGGTAACCATTTACGATAAGTTCAAATCCAAATTCAAACCTCAGATGCCCACCGACCACCGAAGCAGAATCGAAGCTTCCCTCCCGTTTGAGCCCAATTTACGCACGTGCCATTCTTTTTGGTTAAACATACGTGCCAAAATTCATTATTAAAAAATAGTCGAACACCAGATGTTTATATATATCTGATAGATTAGAGAATTTCGTATTTTTTAGAATTGTTGAATGCTCAATACATATAGATACAGAGGTGAGAGAGAGAGGAGAGAGGTGAGAGAGAGAGGAGTGATTTGAGGAACTGATTGATACGCTACAACGGTAGTTTCCTAAAATAGAAGATACAGAAGATTGCAATCTCTAACACACCCCCTCAAGTCGGAGCACCTTCGGTGAGTCCGATCTTGATGCAGAGATTGTCGAACGTGCTTCGGGGAAGTGGCTTTGTTAAAGCGTCGGCGAGTTGGTCTTTCGCACTGATGTAAAGAACACGTAGTTCACCGGCTTCAACTTGTCCACGAACAAAGAGGTAGTCTAATGCCAAGTGCTTCATGCGTGAGTGGAATACGGGATTGACACTTAGATACGTCACCCCTACATTGTCACAATAGATGGTTGGTGGTGTTGCGAGAGAGACGCCAAGCTCGGATAACAACGAAACCAACCACCGTAATTCCGCCGATTGTTGGCTACCGATCGGTACTCGGCTTCCGTGGATGAACGTGAATGTCCTAGTAGCTTTTTAGATGACCATGAGATAGGATGTTTCCCGTAGTACACAATGAATGCTCCCGTCGATTTGAGATCAAGTAGATCACCAGCCCAGTCGGCATCACTGAACGCATGTAGAGTTGACATGTTTTTGGCTGATAGAAATATACCCTTTGTTTGTGTCCCTGATAAGTATCGCAAAATCCTTTTTGCTGCAGACCAATGGACGTCAGTAGGGTTATGCATAAACTGAGACAACTTATTTACCGAGAAACTGATGTCGGGTCTGGTGAGCGACAGATACTGTAAGCTGCCCACAACGGTTCGGAATTCCAAGCCGTCGTCAAGGGGTGTGCCATTTGTGAGTGTAATCCGAGAGGTTGATGCCATCGGTGTGGCTGTGGGTTTGGCGTCATGCATCGCTGTTCGATGGAGCAAGTCGGAGATATATTTCCTTTGATTTAGAAATAGACCTTGTGGTGTCCGTTTCGCTTCAATGTCGAGGAAGCATGATAGGTTTCCTAGATCTTTGAGAGCAAAGCGAGCAGCAAGTGCGGAGATGAATGTATTGATGTCACAGCCATTGCTTCCTGTTACAATCAAGTCATCAACATATACAAGTATGTAGAGACAAGTGGTCGGTGTCCAGAGAACAAACAGTGAAGCATCGGACTTTGAGTTGATGAATCCACGAGCAATAAGAAAGCCACGAAGTTCCGAGTACCACGCTCGTGGAGCTTGTTTGAGCCCATAAATCGCCTTGTTAAGTTTGCACACAAATGATGATCGGTCTTTGTCCACAAAACCCGAGGGTTGGCTCATATAAACTTCTTCTGAGAGGCGACCTTGTAGAAAGACATTATTTACGTCAAGTTGACGGATTGGCCAACCATTTGTCACCGCAAGGCTGAGAACAAGGCGGATTGTGGGAGGCTTGACTACCGGGCTAAAGGTCTCATTGAAGTCGATGCCAGGACGTTGATGGAAACCTTTAGCTACGAGTCGAGCTTTGTATCGATCTATAGAGCCGTCCGGGTTTGTCTTGATTCAGAATACCCATTTACACCCCACAACATTCATCTCCGGAGATTGCGACACTAGTTCCCAGGTATTATTCCAAATGAGAGCGTTGAATTCATCGCTCATTGCAAGTCTCCACCGGGAATCACGCAACGCTTGAGCTACTGTGCCAGGTTCCCTGTCAACATTCAAAACAGATGCCATTAACGTGAGTTTGTTGACAGGTTTGGAGATTTTGTTTTTCCCACGTGTTATCATTTGGTGACTGTTGCGAATGGGCTGTGTCTCAGCTGCTGGCAGATCTTCTGGGCATGGGGTCGGCGGAGAATCTGGTGCCAATGTCGGCAGCGATGCAACCGTCGAGCTGGTGGCCATCTCCTGCACAGGTTCGGATGAAGGAGTCGGGCTTGGGGGCGATGGCGATGCTGTTGGAGGTGCCGGTGGTCGGTATGTATATGTGGGTGTGATAGATGGAGTCTCGTAATGAGTGGGAGTAGACTCGGTGTTTGGAGATGAATCAGTAGGCGAGAAGAATTTGAGGTTACGATATGGGAAAGAGGACTCATGGAATCTCACGTGTCTGGAGATGTAAACACGAGAGTGCAAAAAGTCAAAGCACACAAAGGCACTTTGAGAATTTGAATAACCTAGAAAAACGCAGGGTTGTGACTTTGGTGCGAGTTTGTGGGGCTGATATGGGCGGATCCAAGGGTAGCACAAGCACCCGAAGGTGCGGAGTTTATCGTAGTTTGGTGAGGTTTTAAAAAGAGATGCAAAGGGCGACTCGAAAGACAACATGGGTGTTGGTAGACGATTTATGAGGTATATTGCGGTGGTAAAGGCGAATGACCAAAAAGAGAGAGGAAGTGATGCTTGATGAAGAAGCGAAAGACCTGTTTCTACAACGTATCTATGTTTTCTTTCGGAAATGCCATTATGCTCGGGTGTATGAAGTGGTGATGTGAAATGAGAAATGCCTTGGTTTGCAAGAAAAGTTTTGAGTACTATGAACTCACCCCCATTATCACTATATAAAGACAATATATTGGTGGAAAACTTTTTTTCGACGAGTGATTTGAAGCGAATAAACGTGTCATGAGTTTGGGATTTTTGTTTCAATGGGTATAGCCACGAATACCGAGTGTAATGATCGATAAATATCACATAGTACTTAAAACCATCCATAGAAATCACGGGAGAAGTCCATACATCCGAAAAAATAATTTCAAGCGGTTTGGAGGATGTAATAGTAGAATCATAGAACGAAAGTTTATGGCTTTTATTTGTCGAACAAGAATCGCAAAATGAAAGGGTAGAATTCCGAGCTAATGGCAAACCAAAGGAAGACAAAACGCGTTGAAGAATAAGTGGTGATGGGTGACCAAGGCGTGAATGCCACTCGGACAAAGTGGACTTTTGACTAGATAAAACCATAGGACTAGGTGTAGACGGAGAAACCGGCCACTCATAGACACCGCCACTAGTTTTTCCTTTGAGAATTTTTGCCCCCGTGCTTAGATCCTTCACCTGAAACGAGCGCGGAAAAAATTCCACCGAAACATCGTTAGTTTGACAAAGCTGTGACACCGACACTAAATTCTTCTTCATAGCCGGAACGCATAAAACATTATCAAAAGATAATGAACGAGTAGGATATGTAAGATATATGGAACCAGTGTGAGAGATATTGAGAGCCGAACCATCTCCTATGAGAACATCGTCTCCACCACGGTATGGGTGATGAAGGGCCAAGTTGTGGAGGTCTGATGTGATGTGGTGGGAGGCTCCACTATCAAGTAGCCATGGCGAGGAGTCGTAGCTGACATAGCAGTATCATGAGCAGTGGGTTGCCATGGTCTTGGTGACGCTTGCCAAGGGGAAGTAGGTGGTGGACCTTGACCAGCATTGTCTGAGGCTGAGACAAGTCTGAAAAGATAGCAACGCTGAGCACTATGCCCGAAAACACCACATGCTTGGCATTTCCCTTGATACCCTTTGGAGGGAGTCTGTCCAAAACGACTCCATTGCTGTCCACGTCCCGAGCCGCGATAGTTCTGTCTTCCCCGAGCATGTGCTACATTGGCTGTAGCTGGAAAGTTCCCCAGGAAAGAGTTGGCTGTCGTTGCTAGCTTGGCCTCATGTTGCAGAAGTTTCTCATAAAACTCTTCAATCGAAACTGCCACATCCTTAGCTTGGATAATATCCACAACTGGTTTGTATTCTTCTGGCAGTCCACTGATGATAGCGTCGAGAATATCCTCGTGATCTAGAGGTTTCCCGAGAATGGCTAGTTCATCAGATTTTGTGGTCACAAATCTGATGAATTCGTCCACTGTTTGCGAGCCTTTTATACATCTTTTGACTTGTTCTCTGAGTTGGAGAAGATGTCCTCTGGACGCCTTTCCATAGATGTTCGAGATCGTCTTCCAAGCATCGCGGATAGAGGTTGATCGCGCAACAACAGGTTGGAGATTAAGAGAGATGGTGCCAAGTATGGCACTGAACAAGAGTCTATCTTGTTGCTTGAAGTTAGCAAACGCCGGATTGTCAACAAGTACGCCGGTATTGTCGATTTTGGCAGGGGGAACAACACCGTCGTCAGTGATGAAGCAGTCTAGTTTGTGCCCTTCAAGGAGAGCACGGATCTGAAGACTCCAGGTAATATAATTTGTCGAGATGAGCTTGGTTACGTTGCTCATGTTGACAGAGAGCAGGGTTTTCGTTGGTTCCCTGGCGTCAAACGTAGTGGCTGTGGTATCGGCAGAGTTTGTTTGCTCAGTGGCCATGGTGGTCTGCGGTGGTTCTGGGTTGAACGTCTTAGAGAAGAGGTTCGTCGGAAAAAAAATGGCTAGGGTTTGGGTCTTAAACCAGGGCTCTTGATACCATGATAGATTAGAGAATTTCGTATTTCTTAGAATTGCTGAATGCTCAATACATATAGATACAGAGGTGAGAGATAGAGGAGTGATTTGAGGAACTGATTGATACGCTACACGGTAGTTTCCTAAAATAAAAGATACAGAAGATTGCAATCTCTAACAATATCAATAATCAAACGCTTACTATATATCCATTATTCAATAATAAAACACTTGCTATATATCCATTATTCAACAGTCAAACACTTACTAATATGTATATATACTAATAATTAAACACTTACTATAAATATGTATATATATACGCATATATGCAGAGACGTGAAACAACAACGAACCCACCAAATTATTCTCATCATTACATCGTCCAAACACCATGGCTTCTGCTACTGCGATGTCTGCCAAAGCGATCCCGTTGAGGAATCTCAGCAACCGGTCTCTTAACCATCGAAGCTCTCTTCTGGGTTTCTCCAGATCTTTCCAAGACTTCAGGATCTCATCCAACGGTCCAGATTTCTCCGCTCTATCAAGACCCAATTCCAAGTACTCGACCGCCGCCAGAGCCTCCATCTGGAACTGCTTTGGTCGGGAGAAGTCTACTCCACGTAAGTGAACGAGCTATGACCATTTTCCATAATTTTACCCGAAATAGATGCAAAATTTATCATCTTTTGAACAATGCCCACGAATTTTCACTGTCTGAAAATGCAGCTAAAGTTCAAGAACTCCATATCTACGAGCTTAACGAAGGAGATCGAAACAGCCCTGCCGTCCTGAAACTCGGGAACAAACAGGAGCTCTGTCTCGGAGATCTTGTCCCTTTCACCAACAAACTCTACACCGGCGACCTCACCAAGCGCGTGGGAATCACCGCCGGTCTCTGCGTCCTAATTCAGCACGTGCCCGAAAAGAACGGAGACCGATTTGAAGCCATATACAGCTTCTACTTCGGCGACTACGGTCATTTGGCCGTACAGGGACCGTACCTGACGTACGAGGACACGTTCTTGTCCGTCACCGGCGGCTCCGGCATCTTCGAGGGAGCGTACGGACAGGTCAAGCTTCGTCAGTTGGTGTATCCGACGAAACTTTTCTACACTTTTTACTTGAAGGGTATTGCTGATTTGCCGGCGGAGCTCACCGGAAAACCGGTCGAGCCTTCGACGGACGTGAAGCCGTCTCCGGCGGCTCAGGCGACAGAGCCAGGCGCAACCATCCGTAACTTTACAGACTAAATAAATCTCCTCTGTTTCTTCTTTCGTGTGTTTTGATTTGCAGTTTTTCCTGTTCGGTTGTTTTCATGAGCTGTCAGATTTCTGTCTGATTAAAATAAAACTTAATATTGAAACTATTACTTATTATATATTTAATGTTCTTAGATATTTTAATATATTTTAATATTAAAATCTTAAAAAAACATTTTAATATCTAAAATTTAGAGTTAAATTATAGGGGTCAAGATTTCAATATTCGGTTTCGGCTTCGATTCAATATTTATTCGGTTTGGATTATTCAATTTTATAAAAATATATACCAATTGGTTATTACATGTAGACCGGTTCAATTTTTATAAAAATATACATTTTTAATAGAATTAAAAAAAACAAATTGCTACGATTCAGTTTTGAAAATTTTTATTATTTAAAAGTTAAACCGTTTGAGATTTTTTTTTATCAATTTTATTTAAAAACGATACTAAATATTTTCGTTTGATGCGGATCAATTCCAATAAACCATATGAAAACGCTCTCCTAGTAAATCATTCCTCATGTATTATGTAAAGACCTATTATATATACATATATTCGTACTTGGATATGTTTATAGATACACATATATACGTTTTAATATATGTGTATAGGGCCTAGTGTAGGCCTAATTAAATGATTAGGAATATAATTTGTTCGTTCCAATACGAGCCCATAAAACATGGGCCCATTGGGCTTACAGAAATGGGGGGTAAATAACCTGTTGATGGAAATGATACGATGTCGTTTATGGAATTGACTCACCACTCAATTTTGGCTTTTGGAGGTTCTGATGGGACAAATAAGCCGAATAAGTGTGAGTTATATGATTATAATTAAATGCCAACCAAATTTCGTAATTAAAAATTCGTTCCTATCTAATCTTAGACAGATTGGTTCAATAATCATCGGTTCAATTTTAATAGACGACAATTATTTTATTAAAAATAAATCAAATGTCGACGTTCACACGTTTTCTGTATAATCATATAAATATATTAAGATTTAAACAGTGAGAATCTAATAAGATCATCACAATAATTTTTTCATGTCCATTTACCGAAAATAAATTAAAAAATAACAAAACATATCAAATAAAACCAAATCAAACCGAACAATTACAACCCTAATGTATCGATGTAACCAATTTTGCACTCAATTTCTTTTAATAATTCAATCCAGAAAAAAAAATACAAATTTATGGCTATTTTCCTATCTGAATTTATGGATACGTGAGTCAACATTGATTATAAAAAATTAGGTATACCAAAAATTAATTGTTCTGTATTAGAGATTTCTTAACATTATCTCAATATATGGAAGCGAGTGACCTAAGAGCTTTCTCCAGAAGAAACCTACACTGTACTAGTTCGTCAATCATATTATTACATACGTCGTTTTTCAATATATTTTCCGAAACAAAGAAATAAAAGTACATATATTTATAAATATTCATATATACATATATACCTTTATAATTATATATATGTGGCTCGAACGTGATTCGAAACTCCATTTCCCAACGCTTTATTTCGGTGGTTAATATATTGATCAAGATAAGATTTTATTACATGTGTGTGTATGTATGTATGTATGTATGTATGTATGTATGTATGTATGTATGTATGTATGTATGTATGTATGTATGTATGTATGTATGTATGTATGTATGTATGTATGTATGTATGTATGTATGTATGTATGTATGTATGTATGTATGTATGTATGTATGTATGTATGTATGTATTGCATATGAATGACAATGGCACGCCAGTATGTGGGAAATGAATCATGCGTATATTTGATAGTACAGTACAACACGTTATGATGTTCGTATATACTTGGTAAAATACACAAAATATATACATAATTACACAGGCCAAAATGATCACATATATTAATATTCCATGTGGATACGGATATCATGAATTCAATAAAGTCAAGATTCTGTGACATTTTAATTTTTAAAATGCGAGTCTAAAGGGTCCAAAAATTTGTGACGGAGAATATTAAATTAATTTAATTTAATTTAATGATATATAAGTTTTTTTTTTTTTTGCGTGGCCTTTCTTTCTTCTTCTCCCATGTTTCGGCTTCTTCGCGAAGAGACATTTGGCTTTTCATTTTAAGACCACCATACAAATATATAAATGTATTTTCAACGTTAACTCTATAGATTTATTGACGAAAAAATTATATTATAAAACATAGATGCTCTCTCATGCACGTTTAGTTGGAACCACTTTTTGGATTTCAATTTCAAATGTACCATAATAAATAAAATTGTAAATCATATAATATAAAGTGGAAAATTATATAATAACATCGTGTATCTTGATTTTTGATATTTTTTTTTATAACGGAATATCTCTATCTGCTACCCTTCTAACGCGCTGATTAGGTAAACCTCTGATCCGGGAGCAGGCTTTGTATATGGATCATATAATCTCAGAAATTACCTCCCTCTCCACCAGCCAGTAATCAAACATTCAACCTCAAGGTGGAGTTACCTCCTACCCCAAACTTGATCACTCGCCTACGATCTGTTGATTTTTGTTAGTTGATATGTATGTCATGAGAAAATGACAATGGTTTAGGTGAGCTAGGTGTTTTAATTATTATTTTTAATGTTAATTCAATACAGTAGAATTAATATGAACCCATATCCGATGTTACATCAACTTGTACAAATTGACATAATAAATTTCCTACAAAAAAAAAAAGGAATGGAATCACATTTGTCGAATATTCACTATGGAATATTCACCACTCCCTAACTACTAATACTACAAGACATCTCCCCTTCATATTCTAATTAGGCAATCAATTAATTATGCTTCTTTAAACACACACACACACACATATAGATATATAGATATAGATATACATGTATATATATGTATAGACATATATAGATAAGATCAAGATTCGTGTTGTAACGCGACGGCCCGACCTTGGCTTCGGTCTTTCAATAGGATCCTTCACAAGCTCTATAGAGCCATGTTTTATACCTTCTAAATTGAAAGGGGAAAAAAAAAAGAGTTAGTATTATAAAAGTGGGTTTAAACCCTAAAAAGAATGATTAAGAACATCAAAAACATGGATTACTCTCAGAACCACAAGAGATTTGGAGAATACATCGAAGCCCTTCAAGAAGAACGTCGCAAGATCCTCGTCTTCCAACGCGAGCTCCCTCTATGCTTAGAGCTCGTCACGCAAGGTACATACACACCCCCATATATATATATATACGCGCTAGTGTATGCATTTCATGTATATTTCTGTCCCATCTTTTGTGGTTTACGGAAATATGAAATATTAATCCTCCGATCCTTTTTTTCCCCCTATTGTTTTGGACTTGTGGTTCTTTTTCGACAAAGTTGCAGGACGAGTATTATACATGTACATTCGTATATTCGCATCCCCCCTCTTGGATCGTTTTGTTACCTATCGAAGGATTTGTAGAAAACATGTGCTCTGAGATTCTTTTTCTTGGTTTTTTTTGGGTTTAATTTCGCGTCGGAAAAAACAGCGATTGAAGCATGTAAGAGGGAGACATCGGATACGATGGAGAACATGAACGGACAATCGGAGTGTTCGGAGCAATCGACCGGCGACTGCGGTGGACTTGTCCTTGAAGAGTTCATCCCCATCAAGCCATCATTTTCATCTGCACATGATGATGATGATGATGAAGAAGAAGAAGAAGATGAAGCAGAAGAGGAAGAAGACAGTGATGAACATGATGACGACAAGAACCCAAAATCCGACTGGCTCAAATCTGTTCAACTTTGGAACCAACCCGACACCATTCCCATCGAGGTAGGGTTTTTGTTTTGTTTTTTTGGATCATACTTCGGAGAAATAGATCTAGGAAATGGAAAGAAAAAAAAAACTGTTCCTTTCATATTTTCTTGTACGAACAACAAGGGCTTTAATCGTCGGATCTGGAAATGACCATGAAATCTGATATTCATTTTGCGTTTTGCTTTCTTATAGGAACGCTCTCGAGAGAAAGAGACGGTGGTTGAGGTGAAGAATAACGGCGTAATGTGTGAGAAAAGTAACGTCGACGTCGAGAGCAGGAAAACTCCGGCGACGGCGGACGGAGGCGGAGGTGGGCGGAAAAATGAGGCGGTGAAAGACGCCGGCGGGAAGAGGAAACAGAGGCGGTGCTGGTCGCAAGATCTCCACCGACGCTTCTTGAACGCCCTCCAACAGCTCGGCGGAGCTCAAGGTGCGTTTGCGTTTCGAGATGGGCAACCCCACCTTTACCGTAATTATTATTATAGTTGTTTGTTCGGATTAGGGTTTGTGAATTTTTTTTTATTAATTATTATTTATTGGGTTATTATCTGTATGGATTATCAGTCGCTACGCCTAAGCAGATTAGGGAGCTGATGAAGGTTGACGGGTTAACAAATGACGAAGTGAAAAGCCATTTACAGGTTAGGGCCTAATACTCTTATTGAATCTCGAACCCTAATGAATTTATAAATCAAGACACACACATATACACATAATATATATATATATATATGCACTATGAATATACTATTAATTTAATCGAAATCCGTTTGAATCTGATTCAACTTTTTCAGATATATTGGGAAGGAAAAATCTAGATATATATTTATTTTCGGTTCTGTAATTATCAGAAATATAGATTGCATACAAGGAGGCCAAGCCAAACAGCCGGCAACGGAGGAAACAACCAAACGCCTCATTTTGTGGTGGTCGGAGGCATATGGGTCCCACAAGCCACGGCCAAGTCTGCCGCTGCCACGTCAGCAACCGCCGGAATATATGGAGATATGGCAGATCCAGCACCGCCTCAGTGGCCGAGCCATTGGAATAATTTTGGACCGTTGATTTCCCATGAAAGATCAATATGTCATATCGAAGGTGGGGTTCGACGTATCCCCCCCGCCATGTCTTCTTCTTCTCCTAAAGACAGGAAAAAATCATGAATTTATGTTTTTTTTATATATAAAAAAATATATGTGATGTTTTTGGTCTGTTTCCGATTGTGTACATTTTTTGAATAATGTTGTAATTTTGTTCCTTTATCTCTTAACTTGTACACTTTAATATTGCGTTGGAGTATAGATTTTTTTTTATAAAAAAAAAGTGTCAAAAATACTATTTAGGAAACAAATTAATTTATTATTAATTACTTTTTATTCGTCTTCTTGGTGTTTCTTTTGAGGAATATTTCTTAATTTCAAAAGTACACGATTACCTTGAAAACAAGATTAATATATTGACAAATATTCGGGCAAAATTTACCATCCAAAATCTCTTATCTCTTGTGTCTATGTCTATTTGGCAGGTTCGTGTTTGACGAAATTTGCGGAATAATTTTTGGATTTTCTATTACTCGATTTAAAAAAAACGCTTAAATGCTGTTTCTAATGAAGACGCTTTCTTAATCTATCAAAGAAAATAATAACATAAACTATTTAAATAAGTATCTATTCACAAATTGAATCACAATAAAGTCCTAAATCTTTTACCAACAACTTTCGTCTATAAGAATGTGCGATGAGACTCGAATCCGTACGTAATGATTCTCATAAAAATGGGAGATCCCAACCAAATGATGAAACTACAATCATTAAACTTTCTTGATGTTTTTAGCTTTCTTCTACACTCTTTTTTTAATCGTTGATAGATACATGGTTTAGACACATAAATATGTATGTATGTATGTATGTATGTATGTATGTATGTATGTATGTATGTATGTATGTATGTATGTATGTATGTATGTATGTATGTATGTATGTATGTATGTATGTGTGTATGTATATATGTATGCATGCAGATGCATGCATGCATGTATGTATGTATGTATGTATGTATGTATGTATGTATGTATGTATGTATGTATGTATGTATGTATGTATGTGTGTATGTATGTATGTATGTATGTATGTATGTATGTGGAGACAAACCAACCACTAATCTGAACATGGCGGCTTGAGAGTCGAGCAAAATGGATTCCCCTAAGATATAGTGGCAGTCATTACGCACATTAATTAGCCCACTACACACACACACACACACACACACACACACACACACACATATATATATATATATATATAATTACTTTACAAAAGACCCGAAATACAAAAAAAAAAAAGACTTTTGTAAGATACTCATCATCGTAATAATGTGGGCATAATACGAATATACCGGAATCCGAAGAGCATATATATTGGTATATCTATTTATGTCACAAACAAATTAATGTTGCTTGAATATAATACAAATGGGCACGTTAGCTACCATCTCCTTGTCGTAGAGTATATTCTCCAATTTCCCTTGTTTCTCACCAACACTCTCTTTCTTCTCATTATTAGACGGATCTCCAAGAATCTTAAATTGTATTGAATATTCCTCGTTCAATTATTTTACGTTATATAAACGAATCATTTTAATTTAATTCAACTTAATTAGATCAATGTGCAACAAAATTAATGGATAAAAAAATACGTATTTTGTAGTTTCTGCTTAAACACTAAAGGACGAGCAGCTTGACGATCGAGTGAGATTCGTACATAGAATATAAATCCAGCAAATGGAGGTTGGTGTTAGTCTGACCAATTTCTCTTAGGATATTTTATAAATTTCTCACTATCTGATATATATATATATATATACATGTGAAATCATTTGCCTAATTAGTTTAAAAGGGAAAAAAATTATAGCTTTAAAAATCTTAATCCTTCAAGAATACAAACATTAGATATATAATGAAATTTTTTTTTATAATCTGGAAATTCATCAGATCTTTGGTCTGACTCTATCTCCGAGATGATCGGAAAAGTCCATGTAAATGCCTCGAAAGTGAAGACTTGAACCCAGATTAGAAAAGAACTTTGCTTTCTTCCTTACCGGTTGAGTCACCCAATCTTGAATATAATAAAATTGTTAGATCGTTTTCTTGTAATTAAAGAAATGGATTACTCTTTCGGATTACAAAACCGAATTGGTCGTATCTCTTTCTTATGGTTTCAACGTAGATTTCATGACAAAGACAAGAAGATGTAGATTCACATTATTAAAAACTCCTGTGTGCGTGATTAATGTTCTATAATTATGATAAATATCTCAATGAATATTTTGACATCAACCATGGGTGTAACCATTACTAATTCCATTTAGATTTTTTTTTTCTTCCACACATTTCATGTAAATAGAATAGTAATTTACCATGTCTATGATGATAGATCCAAAAGACCGGGAATCCGATTAGAGATTTAAATAATATTTGATTATAATATACATTAGGTTTAGGGTAAGCTTAATTAAATCAGAAATTAGTGTGACCTTTCGCATTTGGTAAAGGCCAAAACGGCTCTTGATGCGTATTTTAAGGGCCAATATATATAATGGAAACATGGGCAAACTACTACAAAACATTAAGCAACATACTTCAATGTTTGATCTTGGCCTAGTTATTACAATTTAAAAATATATATATTACATACATGGAATATTCGGGTTGACCTAATTATTTAATTTAAAGTAAGGAGATTAGATTAATTCCAAAAGATAATACTCACCTATCATTAACCACGCTTTGAACAATATACTTAACTACGTGCTGGTCTTGTTTCATCCTTCTCTTGATGAGATTAAGAAGTTGGATATCGATGAAGGATCCACCTTTTGTTGCTCTTGTGATGAAAAGGTGGAATTTCAATGAAAATTCCACGGCATAGATAGATATTCGTTTGAATTCGATAATAATGATAATTTTGAATATTACGTAAAAATAATAGATTAAATAATCCAAACTGTTATCATAGTAAAAAAAAAAAAAACATAATTGATATTCTATATCCGTAGAACTTGTAAAGGGCCGTATTTACATAATAAGGGTCATATCATTGCTTTAGTGTGCAGGATACCAAAAATTATTTTTATAACATATTAGTTCTATAGGTTTTTAATGGTGATAAGTTTTTATTTTAAGTTTTTTGTTTTGATTTTTGACTTTTGGTTTGATTTTTGTCATATTTATAAATCCAAAAAATATATATTTTTTGATTTTTAGTTAATTATTACACTAAAATAAATTTTTAAAAAATCAAATTTATAAAATCTTTGATTATCAATTTTTTTTTGTTTTTATATTTTATAAATCCATTTTCGGTCAACCTAGCCCATATTTGCGTGCTCATAGGTGAGAATAGATAGAGCAGGCTTTGATTTGGGCCAAAAATCAGTAAGCCCATTTAGGGCCCACTAAACAAATCAATTTCAAATGTAAAGCATAAAATATGATTTGTGCCACATTAATCAGTATGAGGCCCACTCCGAAAGCAAATGAATATCATATTTCACACTTAATTTCTTCCCAAAAAATTGTGACACACAGTTTAGTGGGAAAAAAAAACTCAAAAGAACAAGAAATATGTACAGATGGAACCTTCTAGAAGTTGAAGCAAAGTTCTCTCTCCCATCCCGTGGGACTGTACGGAATGAGATTGACAATCTTATTACCGTGAGGAACAGGCAACTCTGTTTCTAAAGGGATCTTCTGTCGGAGAATGAAGTCGTTTTCACGGCCGTACTTATCAATCCTTCTAGAAACTTCTTCTGTCTCTTTCCTGAATATGGACCTCCACGTGTCCTCCCCGGCCGTGCTTCTCCTCCCGGCGGCGGCGGCCAACCCACGGTGGAGAACTCCGATTGCCGCCCCTAGTAGTAATAGAATTATGCAATGGATTATTTCGATTTGGTCTGATTATTTCTAATTGAAAATATCTCATATGGCTAACAAACTCCAGATTAACACACAAGTTCAAAAATTCTCAATATATATATATACATATATATCAATTTTTGTATGGATCCTAGTTAAAATCATTAATTTTATAAAAATCCCAAAAAAAAGCTACAAGAAATGACATAAAATAGAGTATAGTTCTTAAAAAAAAACTAAATGTAAAAAAAGTTTGTATAATTTTATAAAAAATTTAAAGTTTTTTGTATTAGTTTGGAAGTTAATAACAAGTTCGTCAGAGATTTTTTTATTTGGTTGCATTTTGTTGGATTCTTTTTTGTTTCTTTTTTTATTTAAACAATCTGTTCCACAATTTTGTTTTTAAAAAAAAAATCAATTTTCATCCACAACATAAAAAAAATAAAATTGTTTAGATATTTCATTTACCTAATTGCTCTTCCGAGGCCAAGCACTCGGCGAGGTGCTTTTGGCTCTTGAGTTCGTGCAAGGCTCCAAGAAAGGATACGTACTCCTGCATATGGTGTGACCAGAAATGGAGAACGTGTACATCTTTTAACTATAGAGGAGTGACAGTTCAGCACCAAGAGACAAAAAGGGGTATATGTTGCAACAGAAAGAAAATGGTGTGACCAGACACTGAATCTGAGATGTAATAGACTGGAACTTACCAGAAAGCGAGACGACAGATCCTTACATTCTCCGGACAACAAGAGCAACGCATTGGCTTCACCGGCCAATTGGGTTACGCCGTAATGCAGTTTAGCGAGTAGACTCCCGCTTGTTCCCTTTTCTTCTGCCCTTTTCACCGTTACAGCCTGTCGGGTTTTTTTTCCAGTGTCAGCATCAGTTATGAATTCTTCGAGAATGGATTAAGCAAAGACCCGAGAATGGTGGAACCGATCCTAAGGCTTTCGTGACTGATAGTCATGACCTTTTTCTGCGGTCATAGCTTAAAAGGGTGGATATGAAATGCACTTACCTGGCCTTCGGCTAAGCAGAGGAGGCTCAATGAAGAACAGACTGATGGAATCACTTCTGCTGGCTTCTCCATTGGCAATGAAGGCTGTAAGCCAGGAAGAACTTCATGAGATAGATGATGGAATACACCAGCTGCTTCTCGATAAAGGGTGGCGGATTGCACCATATCTGCTCTAATCACGAGAAAGTAAATTGTGTAACATAGAATTCATAATTTATAAGATGGTAAGTGAGAGTAAAGACTCTACCTATGGAGATAAACTCCATGGCTTTCTCCCGGAGCTTAACAGCATACAGGAAAAGTATCATTCCAAGCTCGAACATTATGTCGTCAATTTGAAAGAATTTTGGACTCTTTCGGTGAAGTAAGGACGGCGAGATCAATGCACTGCTCCATCTAATCTTGAGGGCTGAAACCCATCTAGCCTTCCGAGATTCAATACCGAGCTTATGAATGTAATGAATCAAGTTTACGAGTAAAGGAATGTATTGTCCAAGTTTATAGAGATCCTGCATTATAATGAATACCAAACAAAAACTTGCCAATGTAAAATTTCCACTCATATAGAAGCTATACATCGTCATCAAGGGAAACCGCAATGACACGGGACAAGGATACCGAAGAAAAAAGAGATACCTGCTCGCAAGCCGAGGTTAGTCCTCTGTTCATCTCTCTTGCAATGGCCTCTGAGACAGTTCTGGTCTTGTTAACGGAATCCTCGACTATTTTCCGCTTAGAACTCAACTCTTTAAGCTGTTCCAACGTGCCCGGATCATAGGATGGGAGTACATTCTCGAAAACTATCTGTTTATACAACAGAAAGGAGTGAGAACACAAGAATTTTCAGCCATAGTGGAAGCTGGGAAGTTGCAACACTTCCAGAATGTTGGGAACAACACACAACAATTGGGAGCAAACCAATTGGCTTTGAAGTCAATATCGAAGCTAAATCACGAGTCACGATACCATCACAGGTAACTCTAGAAGAGCAACGGCGGAACTTAACTTGTTCTGTTTCTTAGAAAACAGAGATGGAAAAGAAGTGCATCACATACAGAAAAAAAAAAACGGAATATATCCCAAAAAGAGAATTACCTCCTTCGTTTTTGGGTCTGGAATCGAGAACCTCATCGTCATCTTCTCCGACATGCTTGATGACGTAACTCCTAAAGAAGACGAAAGCGAACAACGAAACCCAGAAGAGGAAAACAAGGGAAATTCCCGAATTTCAGTTCTTTATCGATGAAATCATACCCAGTGGACGCAATCCGTTCACCATCTCATCCCTTGAAGAAGAAGACGAGGGAACAAGCGATTTTGTTCCAAAAAAAAAGGGGGGGGGGGGGGGGGGT